ATATATATATATATCTATGTAGTTAGGTAGAGTGATTGTTGACTGTTCTTGAGTGTACATAGCCACCTCACGGTAAACCACTTCACCATGGTGAGTGGCTGAGGTGGCCTTGGTGGCACAGGCGCTAAGTTTGAATGCAAAGGAAAGATCATCTTTGAACTTTGAACGGTGAATTAACAGAAGCGATGGCCTCGAACCTAGTAGAGATGGCCTCCAACCTACTAGCGATGGCCTCCAACCTAGAAGCAATGACCTCCAGTCTTGAAAAGCGCATTGAGCATGTGATGGGATAGGCTTTCAAAAGGGTGCTCAAGTACGACTTCAAGGCAAGGTGGCTCGAATTACTGCTTACAATGTGGACAAGTGGCCCTAATGTATTATTGTCATAGTTAACATGAATGAACTTAGCAAAGGTGCGGACATTCGAAACTTTTCCATGCAACGGGGCCAAAAAGATACACTGAAGGTCTGACGGCTTCTGCATGGAATGGCATGCGAGGAACCGTCGAAGGCGTGTGGATGCAGTCGATGGTTGTGGTTTTTTCTTAATACTTCGTAGTCTTTTGATTTTTTTTCATCGTTTTGGCATCAACCTCTTCACTTTATGTTTCTGGTGTCTCCTTTCGCATACCGCATGCAGAATCATTCTTTTGAACTGCCAGTACGAAGGACACGAAACGTCGTCCTTGGATAAACCCTTTGCTTCTTCAGGCTTTGATAAGAGTAAAGGCGTTTTGGAAGTGGAGGCGTGTTGAAGGGTCAATTGTTTTGACTCGGTTTGACAGCAGACACACCTTTTGCATCCTCTTGCCGCAAATAGGGTTTGAAATACAGAGCGTGGATAGACCGTTTCATGATGGAAGGTGAACGGTGTCCTCAAATTGGTGTGGTGCTTATCGTATTGACTCACGCTGTTGTTTTGGTCGCTAGTAATTAATAGCCTTGGGGCAAAGGTGAAACCAGAGAACTGCATCGGGGATGTTGGCACGGCTCATAGTCTCATACTTAGAGATTCCGAATGCGAATCTACACAAGTCACAAGGCTGTTGTCCTTTAGAAGCCGAGACTAAAGCGGAAATATGCGTTTGGGTTGCTGCCTGGCTCTTGAGGTCAGGGTCCTGTCACTCCGGCACAGATGAGGCAATCTACCAGAATGCTATGGCACGGTGGTGTGTTGCCTCCATTGTAGGATGCCATTGCTCAGATCTTTTGTATTATGTACGCACTTTTTGAATCCAATGATTCGGTGCTCTTGCATCAAAGTGAATCAGACATGTTATCATTTCACTTGATCTCCCTCCATCGAGTCAATGATGAAGTCCTCACTGGGTACAGGATGCAGCTGAATGCAGCGCAGCTCAATCCTACAGGTGGGATGTCAGATCTGATGCCTGCAATCAGGTCAGGTTGTCTCCACCGCTGCCTGAATGACAGGCCCACCAGCACCAGCAGGTCATCAGCCATTTTCGCAGGATGCTCAAGAATCTATTACTATCATCCCTAAGAAGTACGCAAGAGTCTCATGCTGGTGGGAGAGTTTCACTGCTGCTTCTGTATTTCTGACATGTAGTTCTTTGACCATGGGAATGCCTTTGACTTAACACTGCTTGCGCGCAATGCAAAGTAGAAGGGCCACGCATGCAAGGGATCAGTTTGACTTGAAACATCAGGCGCAGTAGTGGTGAGCCCAATTCACGTTGTGGGCTCAGGGTACGGTTTGTCCGTGAGTTATAACGGAGAGACTTCGGAGCGGCGTGTTTTGGGAAAGACTGGAGGCCACAGCAGGGCCGCGGGGCCGGCCGTGGGGCCGGCCGCGGGGCCGCGTGTTGACACCTCGCAGATCCACAAGGTGGTCGCGAGGTGGGGAGCACAAGCGAGCACATCTTGATTGATGCATGTTGTAGTTGTGTGTGGTGTTGAATGGAAGCAAGCTATTCAAACCACAGGCCTAGCAGACCCATTTAGTGGGAAGATGCTTGGACGCACAGGTCATGGACAGTTCATGCGTTCATTTGATGCTACAATCGCAGCAGCAACATCATTGCGATGAAAGTTGTGACACTAGACAAACTATGGAACAAAGAGGGAAGAGATACCGCAGCACGTGAAATTCAGGGAGATATCAACTCCTGGTATGATGTAACAACAGCACTAAGTATTTGGACTCCGAGTACGGCAGAACACCGCTTTTGGAGAGACAAACGCCTTGGCATTTGCAAAGAAGCATCACCTAGAATTGAAGGCCATGCGTTGTGATCGTGAGAAGCTAGCCAAACCAGCAAGACAAGCAAGAGAGCTAGTGAGCAAGCTTGAACCTGGATTTGCCTTGCCTCAATTCAGGATGCGCAGAGGGAACTTGAGCAGGGGCCCCGGCGACCAATCTGATGCTTTGACATTGGCATGCAATGCTTGTGATGGCCCCTATGATTTCTATGGCCAAGTAGGCCAGTGGCCAGTTGTTTGGCAGCTGATCGCCTGCAGCAGGTTTTGCAACCATTATACAACAGGGTTTTTTTAATGGAGCCCACGGCCTTTGTATCCATCCTCCAAGAATGCATAATTGCTTTTTCATCAGTTGGGATTTTTGCACGCAACAGAATCCAGAACTGTTAACCACGCAGATTGGCTTCTTGATCGGCCATGCGGTTTGCAGGCATTGACAACTGGCCAAGCTACGCGTCGTCAGGCCTTGCGAAACGCCACAACATGCTGACATTCAGTTCCATCGGTTGGCAGTGAATTCCAATTGTGGACTATCTCCATTCTGAACAAAGGCTCCTGATCCCTCTCTGCGACAGCAGCGCACTGAGTCGATCTGTCACGTTGACCAAACCAGTGCAGATGAAATATCGACAATGCGAGATCATTCTGAGCAAAACTTTGAGTATTACCACACCAATTTTTGCAGTAGGCATGCCGAGGCTCCGCTTGACACTCTCAATTTCTTAGCAAACATAGGATGAACCTGGTTGTGGTGCCAGACCGATTTTGGCTTAGACTTCGACTCCGGTCCTTGGTAGTGCTGCCATGGAGCTGTCTATGTTCAATGTGTTCCTTGGGTGTGCGATCAGTTAGGGGTGTATGATGGTGTACTTTTTGGACTCTTTCCCCGACTTAGTCTCCAAAAACGGTAACTAAGCGGCCCACTTTGTTGAAGCTTGTACTGCTTCAGCTTGATGTAGTTTTCACATTATTTTCTGCAGAAGGGGATCCCACCTCATGCCACAGCTGAGGAGTCATGGCTTCACGGAAGCTGTAGCCCGAGGGCTAAGATCAGGCTTCTTAGGAGTCGAAGACTATAGGCGGCTTGGAACATGCGACACGCTTGAGGACATGCGAAGTGCTTTGGAGGAGACAGATTATGGAACTTTCCTCCAGGATGAACCTTCTCCCTTGCTGGTGTCCACAATCTCAAAGAAGTGCTATGAGAAGCTAGCTGACGAGTTCAGGTACTTGAAGGCACAGACAGTGGAGCCTCTGACCACTTTCATGGACTTTATCGCTCGGGAGAAGATGATTGACAACGTTTGCATGATTATCCAAGGAGCCCTGAACAACAAGGCCCCCAAGGAGCTGGAGGAGAAGATCCATCCCTTGGGGATTTTTGAGGGTATGAAGGTCATCATGTCAGAAAGCTTTGATGTGCAGGGTGGCTTTGATGATGTCTATCGAATCTTCCTCGTGGACACGCCCATTGGCCCTTACTTTGAGGAATACCTCAAAGAGGCAGATCGTGACAAAGATGAAATGGCCCGTGCTGGGATTGAGACATCACAGGTGGGGGGTATTCTGACTAAGCAGGACTTGGAAATCATGAAGACGAGCTCCTTGACACCACTAGAGTTTGCTGGAAGTGATTGCTTTCGCGTGTCGAGCTCCAACAGACTGTTTGAATTATATCCATCCAGTCACTGACAGACATGTGAGACAGTATAAAAACAATGTAAGAAATTAGTATTTGCAGGTCCGTTTTCTGGAAGCATGCTCACTCCCTCACCCCCCTGTAAAACGATAAGGAAGAACAAAACGATAACCCCCGATGACTCTTGTCGAAAACCCTTGACATGCGAGAAGTGGTGTGAAGAAAAAGCGTGCACACACACGAACACAAAACCTACTGTTCCAAATTGTTAGGGTCAATGCATGACTGCTCTTGGTGAGTATATTAACCGGGTATATGCTTGGACAGAGGTGGGAAGGGCTTGGACGGCTTTAGCCCTGTGCTACATCATTGTCATGCCACATGGTGTTCCGACTTGCACCAGGCATGAAAACGACAACTAAACGATAACAAAAACGATAACACAGCGAGCGTAAAACGCGTTTCTGTAGGCAGACCACCACATGGATGTAGTTGGAATGAACTGTGCCCAATGTCTTCATGTCTGCAAGGTTCCACACACCACATGCATGCAGTGCACACACACAAATTTACAATTGTTGCAGTTAGTCAAAGTGCTGTAAAAAGAAAGAAAAAAGCCGATAACGTCAAAAGTAGTATAGGAAAAGATAGAGGGTTTTTACACGACCTCATGTGAATACTATAACAGAGTTGCGAAGTGCCTTCATGCTTAACTTGAGGCTTGAAAAAGGCCTGGCTGGAGGACTTCTACTCCTTCGTGATGAGCCAAGGAGGCACCACTGCAGAGGTTATGGGACATATCCTCAAGATGGAGGCGAGGAGAAACACCACATACTCGTAGCTCACCACATGACTCATTGCTTGACTCTTTGTGCTCGGCATGTTGTGAATAAAGCTATATTAACTATTTTGCAAAGGAACATTGAATGGATGAATCTGGAATGGTCACAGTCTAGAAGACAACGTGCTCAGCATACCCTGATTCACTTCCTACCGCAAGGCCGATTTCCGAGTGTTGCTGGTTACAATGAATGCGCTGAACACAAACCTTAGTACGGAGTCCTCATTGCAGGACCGCAATGTCGCTTGGACGATAAACAGAACGCGAAGACCTATATATATATAGAATGAGGCAACTCGAAGGAAGAAATAGACAGCATGAGGGCCACAGTATGTTGTAGATGAATCCTGTTGATTTGGTATAGCTTTCTTGGTAGCCGACCACAAGCTATGAGTCTCTTGCAGGGTGGTAGACGCACATGTGTACTTGAAGTGCAACATATGCGGAATATTGAAAGGTTAGCTGAACTTCGAGGATGACAATGGCCAAGGGCTGTGCTTTCTGGATCATTTTGGCACAGTACTTCACACAGTTCGTCAAACTCATGGGCTGTGCATTCACCTGGGACCTAGGATGAACCAACACACGTGCTCCTGAAGACAACAGTTGTTTTGGTCGGATGGATCGCTTGTCAGCAATTTCTTGCATTGCCATCAGCACCAAGGCTTTGTACCCAAACTTTGGCTATCTTTATCCAGAAGGCACAAAGGAGCTGCGGAAGGTCTTCAATGACACGACGGTGCGTGCAGCCCTTGAACCCTACTCCAAGTACTTGCAGTACTTTGATCAGGCCAAGAGATTGCTGAGCATATGGAACGGAATCAGGGCATATCAGGGCATGAGTATTCGATTTTCATTAGGGCATGTATGAGTACCCATATGGCTGTTCATGGTACCATTTCGATAGAAGGCGCAGCTGAGCTTTCCTTCCACAAGAACCAGATCAACAGAAGAAGGGCCAGCGAGAGGGCCAAGCAAAAAACATAAGATGCAAGTGAGTCCCCCACACACATATATTATACTATATATAATATATGCGTATGTATATTGTAGAAGTTGTTATAATGACTGATATTGTATGAAGTCTCGGATGTGAGAGACCGCAGATGCGACCAAGAAACTAAGTCAGAGACTCTTAATCTGGACTGTTTGCTCCACAGAAACAGTCTGCAAACATGTTTCCTTAGATATTCTGAATTGTTTTAGACTCGAAGTTAATGGAGACCTCTCAAGAACCATTGAGTCGGCATCAACATCTGTGGATATGTGTAGATGATGTCATAGAGTTGATAGGTGAAGGACTTCTATGATGCGGAATCTGGCGGAAGAGGCCAGGGTACATCATTTCAGTCCATCGAGGATTTGATTTATGCAGAACCTTGGCAGCAAAGCCAGGTTGATATGGAGATGGACTTCAACCTGCGTTTGTCTTGTGATCAGCACTAGTCACTAGTGACTAATCTAAAACAGCATTATACTCAACCACCATGTCAGGGACTTCATTGGGGTGAAGTCAGCTGTATTCAGGAGAATGTCCACATGTACGAGATGGCTTTCGAGCAGCAGTACCACTTCGGCATTTTCTATGCTTGGGTCAAGCTGCGAGAGCAGGAAATCAGAAACATTAGGCGGCAACAGTCGACCGACCACGGGATGCCATGGGCCGCCCCCACGAACGATGAAACACGAGTTCGTTTTGGGAGACGCATTTCTTGAAATTCCTATAGATTCTCCACAACATGGGTGGGGTCGACCCAATGAAGTTGACACATTTGTATCTTGTAGTTCAGGTAGTGTAATGTGCAATGTGTGGAGACTTGGACTGGGCCTTTCTTGGTGAAACAATACTGTTTCAACCTGCTTCAAAAGTGTGACGCGAGGGTATCCTCCAAGTTTGCGCCAAAAGTTGTGACAAGTCAACGAGGCGCACAAAGCCCAAGAACCAGAAGGAATGAAAAGACAAAAAGAAGACACCTGCTCGTTCAATGGCTACAAAACGACAGAGACCTTCAGCTTGACCTTTTGCACACAAGTACTTCAGAAAGCCGTGCAAAAGCAGATACTTATTTCTACAAAGACCTGTAGCAAAGACGCGCTATAGTCCCAAAAGGTGCAGACACAGACGGACGGCGATCGTTTGGCCTTTGGGATCAAATTCTCAAGTGCAACAAACTGCAGCAAGAATTATCAACCTTGAATATTGGAGAAAAACGTGAGTGGTTGCGCGAGAAAGCAGAATTCCAGGCTGATGGTGCAGGCATCTTGATGTGCTGTACTGTTGATTGAGAATTTAAGTCTTTGGATGGCAGGTGCAATTAATTTAGAGACAACAGAGCATTAGGGTTTGTTTGTGCTACGACTAGTTGTTGAATCATGCAAGGTCACCATATTTTTCAGCACAGGCCATCCATCTTGAGATAGCTAGTTTCCCTAAAAATCTAGGAACCAAATGAAGCGTGAGCTATCCTGCGTCCTAGGTAGTAGCGTTCTTGTAGCTACTAGCTACCTAGCTTCTACTAGCTACCTCTCCCGACTACCTCACCTCTACCAGCGGCTGACCCCCTTTAAACATGTTCTCATTCGCAGGTGGATTGCGAACATGGTTGTCCTGAACACGAAGGATCACATTGATGACACCATCGTTCCGATCTTTCAGCCCCGCATGTAGTGCATTGATGCAGAATAGAACTGCGGTGGATCAAGCTGCAGAATGCAGCTTTCCAAAGCTATCAGAAGGCATCGCAACAACCGAGAAGTTATACCATGCAAAGTACCATACCATGATTGACAGCTTGATACCTTGAAGCTTAGATGGTCCATGCTTCCTCGCAGGTCTGTGCAGTTCTGTCCTAGCACTCCAAGTTCCAGAGTTAGAACTATGAGTTGCCAGGAAGGCGGTGTTTCGTTGTAGAAAGCACGACTAACTTCTCCATGATGAACCGGGCCTCTACCCCCTTGATCTCCATCGCGGCCTAGAAATCAATGCTACTTATGACAATGAGAAGATAAATCCATCCCAAGCAACCCAAGCGGATATCAACAACTGGTACAACTGGTTGAGTGCCCTGCCAGATCGTTTTTTCTCAGACATCTTGTCCAGTTATTGGCCCCGTCAGAGGTTGCAAGCTCATAACAAGGCAGTTCAAAATGGACCGCAACATTGAGGTGAACTCATAGTGCGCGTGCCGCCATAACACTCTTGCACCGGCATTTTGCGCCTGGCAAGGTGCCAGGAAGCGCAGTGCAACAGACCCAGGGAATGCGAGGACTTGAGGTCCTGCAGAATCATTCATAAAACCAAGAAGTCTACAATCCTCAAGATCATCAAGACATGTGTGTAGACTTTGATATGCTCATTTGGCGGTCCAAACAGACTGGATCGTCGACCAGGATCTTATCTGTTTGTAGTGAATCCAGGATGTCAAGGAGATTGGGAAAAGAAGGACACTCCTTTGTTGCGGAGCGAGGCCTTTGGAAAGAATCGACCCCCCAAAATTAGAGACATGAAGACATTTGGGCCATTCAGACGCAGCGGAATGCTCCAGAAAATGCCATTGAAAACAGTGATCCATTCACAGCTTTTTGAGTGTGAGCTAATATGCTGAGTGCTTAGCAGCTGTGAGTACAAGCTCCAGCTCCGCAACTGATTTCAGACGTGCTCATGTCCTTGCTATGGGAAGCCAAAAGACATTACACTGAGGCAACAATTTTGGAATCCACTATACAACGCCAAGAGCTTGCCTCAGCCAGCTTGGATCAATTGATCTCTCAACCAAGGATTTTTGCTGAACCTCTTGATGATTGTGTCAAACACCTGAGGTTTGTTTTGGAAGTGGCTTAAGGCCATCCGATTCATTCATCCAAAAAATCTTACACTCAAAATCAATATCATGATAATATTGTATTTATTATTACACATAATTTGTATTTCAGGCTCAGGATAACTAGCGTCAGGTAGGAACAGATTAGCTTCCGTTCTGGGGACTGCTGCAAGGCGTGCTCTGGATCAGGCTTTGCATGGTGCGATTGAACAAGTCAACAAAAAGCCAAAGGCCAAAAGACAATGGACAGCTGGAACGATGCCAGATAGTCGCCCAGGCACGAATGTGAAAATGCAAATTCGACATGATGCAAGCAAGCCTATCAGAGAAGAGTTAAGAATCATAGACATCCAGATGGAGACTGACCGAAAAAGTGAAAAGATGTACGACCTCAGAGATGACATCAGCCATGGGCCCTCAAAAACCAGGTGAAAGATCAGAGAGGACAAGCTACTAAGATTCCATGATC